CACACACACACAAATAAATAAATACAAATTAAAAAAAAATATTCTAGCTGACCAACCCAAAAGCCCCTGCCTTCTGGTTCTGTGCAGTCCAGAGTCCAGATCGAACATTCTGTTGAACCAGCAGAACTGCAGCCCTGTGGTGTGACTCTCCTTTTACTGTATTGACAGATGGAAATGATGGCAGACACTAAGGTGAAGGCGGAAATTCAAGCTTTGGCCTCCCTGTCCTCGGATTACCTTTCTAGAGTATACTTGCCTAACAAATTAAAGTTTGGAGGGTGGATATGAAACTACAAGGCTTACTATTAGCTGGTGAGCCCTGTCATGGAGAGGCTATAAACCCTTAGCTCCGTAAAGGCAGAGCTTAATCTTTCACGATATGTTTTCCCAAAACAAATGCTATACTCTAACTTAGAATTTAGAAGGCTCATTTATCTGCCACAGAGGTTGGTTGCTACCCTCTTTGTAAAATAAATTATTAAAGAATGTTATTGTGACTTTGAAATTGTAGTTGAATGTTTTGCATGTCATAAAAGTCTGTAAGATATTTTCTTTGTCTTCTACAATATAATGTAAGGCTGAAGTATTTTTATAATTAATAATAATAAATTATATAAATTTTGAAATGTTGTAAAGCAATTAATGCCTGGCATTTTCCTGCTTTCTCTTTTGCCTTCACAGTGCAGTGGTCATAGCATAGGAGCCAAGCTGCACTAATTGACTTACAAAGCTAGTAAATTTATTAGGAATACACATTTGGGTTGGTGTACTCCGGGGCTTTGCCTTGCTCTGTCTTCACTGCTCACCTGAAAATATTTCTCGAGGGTGTAACAGATCATCGCCCACATTCAAGAACCTGCATTCTTCTGTAGTCGAGGACCACAGAGAAAAGGCCTTCTTTGGATTTAAGAGTGAAGGAAGCCCCAGATTTTAATAAGGCACTTCTCTAACAGCATCTGATTAGTCATCTTTATAAACCTACTTTAATTTTTATAAAGATAAGTTTTATTATTTTACTGGGTAATGTTAGTAAATCTTTCACTGCAACAAAACTTTCTTGTCATCCTCAGCAATCAAATGCATTCCTAGGACTACAGAAATGAAGATACACGGTGATAGTGATAGATGCCTCTTCAGCAGTCTTCCCTGAGCCTGTTGCTGCTCACAAATGGCCTGGTTTCGTTCTCCCAGGAACCTTGTGGTCACTCAGTAATTCCGCACAGTAGTTCATAAAAGACAACCCTGTTACTTGTCCAGAACCACAGTAGCACAAGGGGACAAAGTTACTTCCAACCTCAGGAGCAAGTTCAGTTACAGAACATGCAGTCCTGGCTGGCTGTGGTGGTGCACTTCTGTAATCCTGGCACTCAGGAGGCCGAGGCAGGATGGTTCCGCTGGAGTTCGAGGCCAGCCTGGGCTACATAGCGAGACCTTGTCTCAAAACAAAAATGCAGGCCCCAGTGCAAAATATCAATGGGGAAGGGGCTGGTTTTAAAGGTTAAGAATTTCAAGGAGAGAGAAATGAGTTAAGCCAAGCAGGGGCCCTTCTTAGGCAAGGGTCCTGTGTAACTACATGAGGTCGTACACTCGTGAGCTTGACCCTGCCCAAAAGATTGTGGTAAGGATTAAATTAAAAGATACAGGGGCTGGGAGATAGCTCAGTAGAATAAGCGCTTACCTGGCAAGCGCAAGGGCCTGAGTTCAATCCCCGTTCTGACAAAAACAAAAAACAAAAAAAAAACGATAGAATATAAAACTGAGCATGGTGGCGCATGCCTGTAATCCTAGCACACAGGAGGCTGAAAATGGGAGAATCACTACGAGTCCGAGCTGTATAGTGAGACCCTGTAGATCCTGCACTAAATACAAAGAAAGAAAAAAGATACAATAATAATAAAAAAAATTAGATAGCATTTATTTTCTTCCAGGTATTTTTCTAGGTGCTTTGCAAACATTCTTGTCCACACCCATCTGAGCTAAATACTTTTTATTATCATCTCCATGTTGCAGATAGAAATATAAAGGTACAGAGAGCATAAGTCCCTGTCCCAAGGTCCCATGACTAAACTTAAACCTGCGCATCTGTATTCCATTATGCCAGTCTGTGCAAATGCTCCACAGTAGGCCGGTATGCACGCTGCTAGAGAGAGGCCTGCGCCGCATCTCAGCCAGGGGCCAGGTCAAGGTATCCTGACGCCACACCTGTGACGTTAATAAATACCTTACATTCCTTGGACACACAGATACTCAATGTTTTAGTTTAAAAACATTCTGGCATGCTGTTAATTTAACTTACTTGTGAGACTATCAGGACTTTTAGGGCTGGGAGATAACTCAGAGGCATAAGCACCCACCTGGCAAGCACAAGGTCCTGAGTTCGATCCCCAGCCAGGCCATGACGCCCTAGAACTGGGCGTGATGGTGCATGCCTGTAATCCCAGCACTTGGGAGGTTGAGACGGGGATTGCTACGCGTTTGAGATCGGCCTGGGGACTACAAAAGTGAGCACAAATCCACCAGCCCAAACTGCATAGCAACATGCTGTCTCAAAAAAAAAAAAAAAAAAAAAAAAAAAAAAAAAAAAAAAAAATGTCCAGGCGTGGTGGCGCACGCCTGTGATCCCAGCACTAGGGAGGCTGAAAACAGGAGGATCACTATGAGTTCAAGCTGTAGGGAGACCCTGCACACACACACACACACACACACACACACAACTAAGATTTATACATCACAAAGTTTTTCTTTACATTTCTACCATACTTAATCTCTTAACATGTAATAAAGAGGAAATTACTACATTACAAATGTGTATAACCCAGCAAACATCTGGATTAGGGTACGCCGCCAAAAATGGGAGGGAATAACAAATCTACAATAGCTGTCAAATTTGGAAATACATTTGAAAATAGTTTGAAATTAAATCACCTCAAGCTTATGAGCAGAAGTTGACTTCAAATCATTTTAAATTATTTGGGAAATGAATATGGAAAGAGCAACATACATTTTAGTTGGGCTTTCCTTCCTGTTTTTATTGGATGCAGATGAAAACACAATGCTAGTATGTATTTGGGAACCATCTAGAATTCTAATCATAAAATTTATTTCCAAAACAGAGTACTGTAAAATAGCAATTTAAAATAACTGACAACAGATATCCCTTCCACTGCCATCTCTTTTATCTATTTTTAATATTTCCATATTTTAATCTGGGACGAATATTGGACTGGAGTCTGTTTGTAGTTAAAATGAACAGAGATAGAAACTAGTACCACAAAAAGATGTTCAGAGATTCTTGGTTTTCCTTAAGGATTCATGACGGCCCTCATAAAATAAAAGCTTCTTGTAATATCCAGTTTTCTGGGAAATGTAACTGTCATCCGGGTGATGCTAAGCGATTTCAGAAGTTACATTTCGTGCAAAAAGGACTCATGCGTTTTGTTCAAAGACAGGCAGAACACCCTTCAGGGCTGCCCCCGTGGCTCCCTTCATGGCTCTCAGTGGAGCTGCCTGATGTAGGTACCGCTTCACTGATGCTGAGAGGAGCCGAAGCCTTCAAGGTTAAGCCCTTGTGCATGAACATTACCGCGTTTTCAGTGCAATCTCTCTTGTACCAGAAGTCAAACTCAGGACCTGCGCTTGCCAGGCAGGCACTAGTGCCGCCCAGCTGTATCCCCAGCCCGAGTGGAATGTTTTTGTGGTAAAACATTGAGCAACTCTTAACCTCTGTCTCCAACTCAGCACCCAAAAAAATTCTCGTAAAAAAGCCAAGTCTGCCCTCTGCTGGCAGTTCCCTGTTTTTCAACTCCTTCCACTACTGTGGCTGAAATTTCCTTACAGCGAGGATTCTTATGTGAGACCAAGTACCTCAGACAAGAAAGCCTGTATTCTTAGATGTCCTAATTCCCTGTGACACTACGAGTAACGTGTATGATTTTTCATTCGCACTGTTCACAAAGATGTGAGCTAACATATTAAAACATCTTAAATAAAATTTCAAAATTAGTAACACTTCAAATGAAAAGCAACTGATACTAAAATGGTAAACAATTTTATTCACTGAAAAATGGAATAAAAACAAGCTGTAGCTTTTAGTGGGGCACATCTGTAAACCTAGCACCCGAGAGGCTGAGGCAGGAGGGTCGGCATGAGTTTGCGGTCATCTGGGTCATAGAGTGAGACCTTGTCTCCAAAACCTAAACAAAAGGAATATAAAGTATGATCAGTCATAAATAGTCACGTGTAAAAAATGGCAGAAAAGTTTACTGTTGTGAGTACCTCTACACCCAAAATTAAAATCCAAATATCTTTCTTTTTTTTTTACTTCATATATTTTTTATTTTTATTTTTTTTCCAATATCTTTTCATTTTCAAGGTTTTTTTTTAAAACGTATACAGTATAACTCAGCCATTCTCATGGGTACAATTTTGTTGATCTCCCTCATTTTATTTTATTTTTTAGACAGGGTCTTACTACATAGCTCAGGGGCTGGCCTAGAACTCCACCAGTCCTCCTGCCTCAGCCTCCCCAGTGCTGGGATTGCAGGTGTGGCCACACCCGACTGATCCCTCTTCTTTCTAGGAAGGGGGTAAGATGCACTGCCACAGTCTGCCCCCTGTAAGGGTTTGAATCACGTCTGGGGCAGGCTGCTTGAGTTCAATTCTACCTCTGCTTGCTGCCTCTGTGCCTGAGATTCTGCACCACAACCTGATCTGAGTTTCATCAACTGTAGAGACAACAACAGCAGGATACAGATCACATGAAATTACTCTTGTCAAGCATGTGTGTCTGAACTGCGGCTCGTGGAGGCAGGCAGAAATGTGAGTTGTGCACAGTGAGCACAGGTGGTTGCTGCCGCCCATTCTGTATCTCCAAACAGCAGGATGCGTTGGCTGCATCAGAGACTCACCTGGGAGCCTCTAGAACACACAGATCTCCTGAGTTCCACCCCGGACCTACTAAGTCAGGATCTCTGCGGGTGCAGTCCAAGCACCGAGTTTTTAAAAAGTTCCCCGTGATTCTAAATGAAAGCGTGATGAAGATTCCTGGTACTTAACGGTGGGGGCCAAGACTGGCCACTTCTGCGAGGTGGTTGATAGAAATGTGGGCTTGTAGGCTCACCCGGGACCTACTGAATCTGCATGTACAACGTCTCACAGCCCCTAAAGCTCTCCGAGGAGGTCAACACACGATACCACACCTAGCAGTGGGGAGAACCCAGCATATGCTGGACAACCTGGCCAGCTCCCACTTTCATGATCCTCCTCTCCTGACGCCCTTCTCCGTACCAAAGTGGAGGCAACATGTGTGTGAGCCATTGCAACAGATCCTTCTTACATAAAAACTATAGGAAGTCACCGATTTGCACTAACTCCTGCACTGGGCCCCAAAAGACCAAAAATCTTAAAAAAAAAAAAAAAATCTCTCTATAAATACTGTTTCCATGTCACCTAACTGAAATACTTCTCCAAACCTCCAAAACATCAAGCAAATAAAGATAACAGCTAAATTTTCTAAAAAGACCAGTTTGGATTGGCACAATAATGAAGTTCTCCCTGCTTTAATCTCTACCAAAAACAAAACAAAAAGTTGATGTAATCTGACACCAACCAGTTATCTCTCTATTGTTCTGTGACCTTTTGTCCCACTTTACAAGGAAAGGAGCCAATCCACTTTTTAGTCTATTCCCAGGATTCAGTCTGTCTCTGAAACCACCTTATTCTATTTGGTTCATTCAAACTCATTCTAGGATCTCTAGCTAGATTTGTTGTAATTTCGTCTTCTGACTCCTTTAACATTATCATACAACGATATACAGTATGTAGCAAGAGGCTTTCCCTTATTCCATCATTTAAACATAATAAGGAACAGCCTGGCAAGTTAGATTTTTTTTTTTTTTTTTTTTTTTTT